GGAAGGTTGGTAGAAATGTAGCAAAAATTTCCTTGCATTGATTTTGGAGACAACAAAGCTGGAATTCCTGCCTCTTGCTAGATGAGTGGACTTAAGTAAATTACATACCTCTCTGCACTTCAGTTTTCATATATCTGAAATAATAATAGTACTTTGTAGGGCTGCTGGGAAAATTTAACAAGACACTGTATGGAATACGTAAAGCAGTGATGACCATATGCCGCTAACTGCTCAGAAAGTATTTTCGGTGTTAAAGTTTCCTAATTTTTTCCCATCCCCTGAAAAATCACTAATATTCCAGAAACCATCTAGTTCAATGCTCTCACTTTTACAGATACTTTTGGGCATCTTTTTAAAAACAATTTTATACAAGGGGGCTTCAAACAGTTAGTGGAAAGACGGAACTGAAAGACAATGGAATTTTCCCACAAACTCTTTGAAGCCCTCTCATATACAAATTTTTACAAAGATAATACTTCAACCCAAAATAATAAGGTTTGATCTTGGAATTAATAAATTTACCACAGAATCCCAAGTCAGAAAGTGACTCTGTTGGATGCAAAATGGAGGCTTTTTAAAAGTTTCATAGTCTCCGTAAAGGGCTCTCCAAATGGAAATAAATATTCGCAAAATCAAAGGCAGATCAAAGAAACGAAAAGTAAGTAACTGGCAAAAAGATTTATAAAGTTTAATATAACTTAATATAATTCCACTCTGAACTGTCTTGGTTTACTTTTTGTTACTAAACCCTATGTTTGCACATGTTAAGACCAGTTTGTGCCAACAGTGCTTAAGGCAAAATGTCGAAAGGTTTATTCAGATCAGACATGTTTGTGATATTTCATTTTAGATTTGGTAATATGTTAGTTTAGTGACTTATTAAGACCTGGAAATTTTATCCATGGTGCTATGGGAAATACCACAATGATAAATGACCATCTTTCAATTTGGAGAGGAGCTTTGCAGGGGAAATGGTCTGCAGTAGGCCCTCAATGAGATGTTCTTATGCAGAGGCTGAAAAATGGGCTCAAATATGGCAGTGACTGTGAGAATGGTGCAGGATAGAACGGTTTCGTTTTGTTTTACGTCGGGTTGTAATGAGTCGGAACCTACTGCAGAGCATCTAACAACATATTCTCCATAGGAAGTAGGAATGCGTCAGGTTTTCCATTCCTTGTAAGTCTTTCCAAATCATTAAACGGAGGCCAAGTGAGACCAAAAGGATGGAAGTGAAGGCTAGAGTGCTTCCAGCTGGAGAAACTTACTTCTTAAAGCTTGGAGCACAGGATATTTGAAAAAGGCAGGTATTTAGATTAAAATGTTGGTAACTCCAATCTAACAGCTTTTCTAGATTCTTTTTAATAGGTCAAACAGCTAAAGCCTTCTATAATAAATGGTTTTAGGTTTGATTTTCAATACCTAGCATTTATTGAATCCTAGACATGAGCCAGGCACTGAGCTAAGATACTCACATAACCCCACAACTAGCCAATGAAGAGACTTGGTGATGTGAAGTGACTTGACCAAGGTCCCAGAAAAGCAAGTAAAGACATGAGAGTGAGTGTATGTGTGATGTAAGTGTATGTGGTAGGTGGTGGTAGGTGGTGGTAGGCGGTGGTAGGCGGTGGTAGGTGGTGATGGTGTGTGTATATTTTGTTTTCTTTTCTTTAGTAAAAAAAAAAAAAAAACCACAGGGAAAAAAACAACAACAACAACAAAAAAAAAAACAAAAAACACAGGGGACTTTTTTATTCCCAACACAGGGCAGGTCTTTATGGGGTGGCGGAAGGCGGCTCTGGGCCCCTACTTGCTGGCAATAAGTGAGTTCCGCAGGACCACAATGACAGAGTCCCCACGCTGGAACGTGTTGGAGATGTAGCGGTCCTTGTTGACAGGCTTGGATTTCTTCTTGCCCTTGTCACTCTTGGGCACATCTCTGTCACATTCTCCAGCACCATGTGGCAGTGTCTGTAGAAAGCCTTCACACGATCCAGCAGCTTCTTGTTGCAACAGTTGATGAGCACTTGGGTGTTATTCTTGACCCACTGCGTGAGCACTGAGAAGGACCCCGTGTTCAACTCCCCCTCCCCCCGCTTCTGCAGTTCCTCTGGGGTCACTTTGGGGCTTGTTGACGAGGCTCCTGGAGCTGGCAGTGTTCTCGGGTCACTCCGTTTGTATGTATTTTAAGAAAGGAATGGGGTCTCAATTTTGAAAGACCGCTAAATCACGAGCACAACTTCCTCTACTCCACTTTTCCCCTCTTTTTCACTCTTAACACCTCCATCCCATCTGCGCAAAATTGTCCACGTGAAACATCATTCATCTTCTCTCTGCCTTGACACTGCAGAGTTTAATACGAGAAATAGCGTTCCTGGGCTACACAGTACCCCACATCATTTCTGCAGGCATCACTATGAGTACCCAAGAAGCTAGACGACAATACTGAAGGTGGTACACATACCCCTCTTTGTTCTGCTGTTGATTTGTTGTCACTGCGCTGAAGGCACGCCGGTATCTGCACGTTTTCTATCCAGACCAGGCAACTATACAAAACTAGAAGGTGTTAAGAGTGAGGGTGTTTATCATCAACACTAAACCGTCATTGAAGGGGTCTGTACAAAGATACTGAAGGGAAGCTCTGAAGTCAAGTCATATGAACATCAAAAAGCTGCAGGGGAAATTCCATTATCTTTTAATTCCATTTTCAATGAATTTTTCAAGCCCCCTAGTATAGGTTCAAATCTTGCCTCCACCACCAAGACCTGGAAGACCGTGGGCAAGCAACTTAAGTCTGTATGAGCCTCAGGGTCCTCATCTACATAATGGAGAGTATGATAGCATATGCCTCACAAGCTTATCAGGAGTGTTGAGTGATATCAGGAATGCAAAAATATCTGACCAACAGCAAGGACTTAATAAATACTGGGGACTCCTGGTGCGGCTGTAGGGTCAGCACTGGACTGCAAACAACAGGTCAGCAGTTCAAACCCACCAGTTGCTCCTCACAAACCCTATGTGAGGTCACTATGAGTCGGAACCAACATGATAGCACTTAACAACGACAACAAAGAGGAGTCCTGGTGTAACACTGGAGGATACGCACTGGACTCCTAACCACAAGGTTGGTGGTTCAAACCCACCAGTCACTCCACAGAGTCCCTATACAGGGTCACTACGAGTCGGAAACGACTTGACAGTGCTTAACAAGCAACATTATTGAAAGGGTCCCTGGTGGCACAGTGGTTGAGCCCTTGGCTGCTGATGAAAACGGTGGTGGTTGGAACCCACCAGCCACCCCCAGGTAGAAAGGTGTGACAGTCTGCTTCCGTAAGGGTGACAGCATTGGGAACTGTATGAAGCAGGGTCACCATAAGCAAGAATCAACTCGATGGATGGTAACAGGTCTGTTTGTTCCTTCTGTGACTCATAGTCAGTGCCAAGGATGCAACACGTAGCAGTCTAGGGAGGCTTGGGACACAGGGCACCTGTATTTATATTTTTATTATTAATAATACAAGGTAAACAAATGTCATGTAAACATCATACAGATGCATGTTATGGGGATTCAAAGGAAGAAAGTCACAGTTAGAAAAACTTTTTTAGATTAAAATAGAAATTCAGAAAGGGAAAAGGACCTTACCAATGTCACAAAGCTAGTTTGGACTGGGTGGGGATAAAGTCCTAAAATCCTGATTCATACTGTCAGAATGCTTCATGAAACTATGTTATGCCACTAGCAACATGATACTAACAACAGCCGTGGCTAACATTGAAAAGGTCCATTGTGCAGGCCTTATTAAGCCCTCACAATAATCTAGGAGGGAGCACTGTATGTTATTGTTGTTGAGTGCTGTCCACTTGGTTCCAACTCACAGTGACCCTGTATAGTGTGCCTTAGCCTACAAATCTTTGCAGAAGCAGAAAGCCTTATGTCTCTGCCACGATCAGCTGGTGGCCTTGAACCACAGACTTTGTGGTTCGAAGTCCAGGACTGACCCTCTAGAGCCACTGTGCTCCCCCAGAATACTGTATATTTTCCCATAATTTTACTTTACATTTTACAAATGTGAAAACTGAGGCACAGGAAGGGTAAGAAACTTGCCCAATGTCCTTCAGCCTGAAAAATGGCCAACCCAGAACTTAAATCCAGGTTTCTAATCAGTTATATTGGAGGGTTCAAGGGGAGGGTAGGACAGGCTAGCCAGAAGCAAGGGGCATGACAGGTGGAAACAGACATTTATGGAAAGTGAATAGGTGCTCTTATTGAAAGAGGATATTCAAGTAAAGGAGTTAGCAGGTTAGAACAGAGCATGAAGCCAATTAGAGACTTGGATGACAAACCAGGAAGCTGGTTTGTTGTTTGGTTAGGGAGAATATAGATCCAGAAGATGGGAATTTGACAATTCTACAATTGTAATTGGTTTTCAACTTTTTATTATGAATTGGTTGAAGATCTACAGCGCAGATCAGTTTTCCACTCAACAGTTCATATATATTTTGTCTCATTTCATTGACTGCAATCCCCACACAGAACCATCATTTATCCCACTTCCTCCCTAGGTTGCCTGTTTCCATTCCTCCTTTCCTGACCCTCTGAAATGCATCCTTGGGTAAATGCTGCTTTTTTTTTTTTATCTCAAGTGATTATTCTAAAGAGTTCATAACTCCCTAATGTTACTGTTTCCCTTATAGGCCTGTCTGTTGTTTGGCTGAAAATTTAGTCATGGGGTGAGTTCTACAGCTGCATTTTTTTTTTTGAAGATTAATCTGATCATAGGCAGAATGAAGAGGGAAAGTCTAGTGGCAGGAAGACCATGTCAGCGGCAGCACTGGAGAAAGATGGGGTCTTTTCAGATAGTCTCCAACCTCTGAGGGTCACACAGCCCAAGTCCTCTTCCCAATCTCACTGTGTCAGGAGAGACTGACATTCTCCTCCTGTCTTTTCTCACAGGCTGTGGTATTTCCACATCCACATCAGTAAACAAAGCTCCAGGCAAACCATGAAGATTTTGTTTCAATACCAGACATTCAGATTCCTCTGGCTTGCCAAGCCACCTGGCCGGCACTTTCACAAAGATTACCAGCTCTGGGCACCTCTGACCCTTGATGACTTTGAAGCCATAAATCGCTGTGAGAAGATGTTGCCTAAGAACTTTAACTTTGCTGGCGATGTGCTGGACCAGTGGTCTCAAAAAGAGAAGGTATGTGACGCTAGGTTTCCATTACATGCTTGGTGCTCACTTACTTCTCACCAAAAAAAAAAACACTGCCATCACGTCGGTTCCGTCTCATGCAGACCGGGTGTAGGGGTTCCATAAAGGAAAGCTTTATGGGAGCAGAAAGTGTCATCTTTCTCACAAGGAGCAGCTGGTGGGTTTGAGCTGCTGATCTTGCAATTAGCAGTCAAGTGCTTATCCTGTAACACCACCAGGTCTCCTTAACAACGTCCCATTTTCTTGCTCTGTGGTCTCACTTGTCAAATTTAATTCAATTCTTCCATCCCTTTGTTTGTTTTCCAATTGCCGTCTCCTATTTCCAAGGAGTCCTGGTGGCCATGCAGGATAATGTACTGGACTGTAAGGTCAGTTGGAACCACAAGGTCAGCGGTTCAAACTCACCAGCTGCTCCTTAGAAACCATATACAGGGTTGCTATGAGTCAGAACCAACTCGATGACACTTAGCAACAACAACAAGAACATTGTCAAGGAAGGAGCTTTGATCCTAAACTATGCATGGTTGTCTTTCTCTGTCGTCTCCACAACATTCCCAGATATTCCTCTTTTTTTGCCTCTTTTCGCCAAGTCCGAAGCAACAGCTGTTTACTCCCCATTCATTGTTCAGGCTGGTCCCAGGCTTATCCAAAGAATAGTAATCTGTGTTTTGTTTTCAAGATCGAGAATCACCACTCACAACTGGGCAATTAGAAAAGGGGAGAACAGAGGTTGAGAAGAATAAAGCAAGCTAATGTGTACAACAATGTGTGCAGCCTCAGGACAAGGTCCCTGCTTTCTAAACCCCACCCCATCCTAGGTACAGACCTAGAAACACGTAACCTATTAGGACTTTCCAAAACGCACTGCATGAACTCACACTCTAAAGATGGTGTTAGCTACTAGATACACTGTTCTTGTTGAATTATCACCAAGTTGAGGCCAGCTCATGGTAAATCCATGTATGCAAAGTAGAACTACTCAGGAGGGTTTTCAAGGCTCTGACTTCTCATAAGCAGATCACCAGGTCTGTCATCTAAGGTCCCTCTGGGTGGGTTCCAAATGCCAACCTTTCAGCTAGTAGGAGAGTGCTTAACTACCTAGGGATTCTATTGCTAATGCCGTGGAGTCGGTTCTGACTCGTAGCGACCCTGTACAGGGTTTCCGAGGCTATAAATCTTTACAGGAACAGAAAGCCTCATCTTTCTCCCGCGGAACAGCTGGTAGTTTCAAACTGCTGACCTTGTGGTTCGCAGCCCGATTCGTAACCACTATACTACCAGAGCTCCTTTCTACTAGATACACAAGACATTAAATATATTGAATCATTCGTTAGTAAACAGAGGGGAAAGCCTTCATTTAAAGTCATCACTTCTTTTTTGTTGTTGTTGTTAAGTGCCATCAAGTCGGTTCCGACTCATAGCGACCCTGTATAGGGTTTCCAAGCTTAAACTGCCGACCTTGCAGTTCAAACCGACCTTGCAGTTCAACACATAACCCATAGCACCACACCAAGACTCCTCTTTAATACCTGCTAAAGAATTCCTGGTGTGGCACTGTAGGATAAGCAATGGACTGCTAACCGCAACATCAGTGGTTCAAACCCACCAGCCCCTCCTCAGAAATGCTATACAGGGTAGATATGGATCAGAAACAACTTGATGGCACTTAACTAAACAAAACAAAGAGTCCCTGGATGGTGCATAGAGATAATGTACTTGGTTGCTAACTAAGAGGCTGGTGGTGTGAGTCCGCAGCTATTGAAAACCCCAGGAAAAACAGTTCTATTATGACACACATGGGATCACCGTACATCAGAGTTGACTTGGCTGTTAAGTACCATGGAGTTGGTTCTGACTTATAATGACCCTGTACAGGGTTTCCGAGGCTGTAAATCTTTACGGGAGCAGAAAGCCTCAGCTTTTTCCCAAGCTGATTTGGTGGCAACTGCTACTACTTGTGAAAGTCTCTTTTGAACAAAATGAGAGCGAGTAGACATTGTTAATCTCACCCTAAAACTGAAAGACATATGTTGTTGTTAAGTGCTGTCGCGTTAGGTCTGACTCATAGAGGCCCTGTATAGTAGTAGGGTTTCCGAGGAGCAGCTGCTGAGCTTGAACCTCAGGTAACACATAAAGCCTAGAGATTTTGCAGTCTGACTCCAAAGCAAGAGAAGTTTCCTCCAGAATCCATCGGTCAAGTTAACTGGCTCCCATGGCCCACCATTCTGATCCTTGTTCCCCGTGAAGACCACACATCAGGTTTTTTGGTACAAGGAATGTCAGATTACGAGTTAACCCAAGTATATCCATTAGGGTTATCTGGACAGAATAGAGTAAGAAAGGAATTTATTGAAGCATATGTAAAAGAGTTGCCATATTGGGTGGCAGATGACAGGAATCAGAACAACTCCCTGAGGTCTATAAGCACCAGGTTCCAAGAGATAGTGTCTTCATCCACCATTTCTAGCTTTGGGTTCCTCACAGAAAACTCAAAGTCCAGGGAGAGAAGATCTGACTGGTTCAACTTGGGTCCAATGCCCACCCACTGGTCAGGGAAGGATGAACACCATGATAGGTTGTCCCGTCAAGGAGAGGATAGTTCCTCCAAAGATGTACCAGGTGCTCCTACCAGAATCCACGGGAGCCCACGCAGAGGGGAAGTAGACAGATGTCCCCACTACTTGGTTGCCGGCCATATGAACCTGTCCTCTTTTCTATGTGTCCCTGTCCAGACAGGAGAGAGACCTGCCAATCCAGCCCTGTGGTGGGTGAATGGTAAAGGGGATGAGGTGAAATGGAGCTTTGGGGAACTGAGCATCTTGTCCCGAAAGGCTGCCAACGTGCTCACCAAACCCTGTGGCCTGAAGAGAGGAGACCGCGTGGCTGTGATTCTACCCCGGATCCCAGAGTGGTGGCTCATAAATGTGGCTTGTATGCGAACAGGTCAGTGTCAGTATCAAACATTTCTAAATCATGCAGAAATATACAAAGACTGGAACCCAAGGGTTTTCTGAATGATTATTGTTGTTGTTAAGTACTGTGGAGTCGATTCTGACTCATAGCGATCCTGCAAAGAGTTTCCGAGGCTGCAAATCTTTACAGGAGCAGAAAGCCTCATCTTTCTCCCACAGAACAACTGGTAGTTTCAAACTGCCAACCTTGAGGTTAGCAGCCTGATTTGTAACCACTATGCTACCAGAGCTAGGTCTAATTAAATTACGCTAACAGAAGATAGAAAAACAAGAGTTGATGTTCAGAGCAAGCATGATGTAATTGTTAAGTGCCATTGAGTCAGTTCCCACTCATTATAGGGTTTCCAAGGACAGCTGGTGGGTTTGAACCACTGACCATGCAGTGCTGTAGGCTAACTGGACTCATAACCACAAGGTCAACAGTTCAAACCAAACCAACTGCTTCCGTAGAACAAAAATAAAGTTGTCTAATCCAAAAAAAAAAAAAAGGAGCTCCGGTAGTGTAGTGATTACGAGTTGGCTGCTAACCTCAAGGTCAGCAGTCCTACTGTACCAGCCACTCCACTGGAGAAAGATGAGGCTTTCTGCTCCCATAAAGACTTACAGCCTCAGAAACCCTGTACAGGTCGCTGTGAGTCGGAGCCGATTCCACGGCACAGAACCAGCAGCACCACCACCTTTAGGGAAGCTGACACAGTTCTATCTTTTTCCCAATGGAGCGCCTGATGGACTCCATGGAGCGGCTCCTTTTCTTTCGGACATAGATGCATACACCCCACACTTACTGCTGCCAAGTCCATTCTGACTCATAGTGACCCTATTGGACATACTAAAAGTGCCCCATAGGGTTTCCAGGCTGCAAATCTTAGGGGAAGCAGACTGCCTAGTGTTTCTCCCATAGAGGAGGATGAAACACCCACCTTTCCTTTAGCAGATGAGTGCTAAATCACCGCACACCAGGACTTCTCTGTCTAGATCCAAACCAAACCAAAGCAATCCAAATGGCCACAGAGTCCATTCCATAGCATCCTCATAGCAACCCTAGAGGACACAGTAGAACTGCTCCCTAGGGTTTCCAAGACTGTAAATCTTTAAGGGAGCAGTCTCCTCTTTTTCCCTCAGAGAGGATGGTGGATGGACCTTGGGGTTAGCAGTTCAATGCTGATCCCAACAGCAAGGATCTGCACACCATGGCTGGTCGCCTGTTCTTGTAAATAAAAGGTAAAAGGAAACACTGCCACGCCCATTGGTTTGCATATTGTCTGTGACTGTTTTCCTTCTAGAGGGCAGAGTTGCTGCTTTAAACAAAGATCCTGTGGTCCGCAAATCCTAGCATTGTTTATTTTCTGGCCCTTTACAGAACATGTTTGCTGATCCCTGCTCTGAAACGTCACTAAATGTTTATAAATCAATGAACAATAAATAAGAACACCAAAGGCTATGCTGCCATAGAAAATACAAAGATGTATTTTGTTGCAATGCCATTCAAAAATGATAAAGTATTAGACAACATAGAGAAATGGTTAAATAAACGATAACTTAGCTAAGACTAAATGTTTAATTGATGTGCGGTGATTATGGTGCCTCAACTTGATGGAATGGAGTCCTGCTGTGGTGCGGTGGGATAAGCACTGCTAAACATGAGATGCCAAGTTCAAACCCACCAGCCACTCCTTGGGTCACTATGAGTTGGATCTGATTTGACAATCACTTAACAACAAACTTGATGGAACATCATTAATCATGTTGAAAATGTTCTAATTACCAATATTAAGTAGAAACAGCAATAGGTAAAATTATTTTTCCATTCACTATTAAATAAAAAACTTGTAAATGTGAAACCAGTTGTGATTGGGAGGAAATTAAGGATTGTTGTTAAGTGCCACTGAGTAGGTTCTGACTCCTAGCTACCCTGTATAGGGCTTCCAAGGACTGACTGGTGGGTTTGAGCTGCCAACCCTGTTATCAGTCCAGTGTTTATCCTACAGCACCACACCAGGACTCCACTAGGCACACAATGGTTGGCTGGTTTGTTATGTGCTATCGAATTGGTTTCGACCCATAGTGACCCTGTATGAGGCTTCCAAGGCTGTAAAGCATTGTAGAAGCAGAAAGTCTCATCTTTCTCCCTTGGAGTGGCTGGTAGATTCGAACTACTGAACTTGCTGACCAGTCCATTCATTACCCACTACGCTACCAGAGCTCCTTGTTGTTAGTATCTTGTCGGAGGCACTTGTGACTCACAGCGACCCTGCGTAGTAACTTGTGGTTCAAACTGACCTTGGGATCTAGTGCTCTATCCCAGTGCCAGACTAAATGACTCTATGGCAGTGGGTTTGGTTTTATGGGGTTTTTGGGGGGTTAACTACAAAAGGGTAACTCAAAAAGTATCGCTACTAGGGTTCCAGTTCATATAAAACATGTTTAATTTAAATATGTCTCTGCAATATGGTTGCAGACAAATATTCTCTAAGGAACATGTTAGTCTTGGTCTTGTTAGGGTGCCTTCCAAAAAAAGACCCAATCAAAATAATGATTTCTGAGGAGATCTGCTGAGCCTGTTAAATTCAAAAGCTGAGAGGTCAGTTCAGAAGATTGTAACAACTGTTTTTTGGAGATTCCAAAAGGTAATCTTAATAGATGCTCTCAAAGGACACAAAGGAGCTCTGGTAGCGTAGTGGTTACTAATCGGGCTGCAAACCGCAAGGTCAGCAGTACAAAACTACCAGCTGTTCCGCGGGAGAAAGATGAGGCTTTCTGCTCCTGTAAAGATTTACAGCCTCGGAAACCCTATACAGGGTCGCTATGAGTCGGAACCGACTCCACGGCACATAACAACAACAAAAACAAAGGACACAGGGCGATCATGGGGGCTTACTAGGAAGAAGTTTGAAGAAAATTGAAAACTACATGGGGGAGAAAAAGACCAGGATATTTTCTTTTTTTTTTTTTTCCCATCACAATGCACCAGCTTTCTGTGAGGTCCTATGAGAATTTCTGTGGGAAGACTTACCCTATCCACCCTACAGCCCTAATCCTGAGGCCTCAGACTTTTTATTCCTCAAACTCAAAAAACATCTAAAAGGAATGTAATGTGAGTCTCCTCTTTAGGGAAGGGATGTTGTTGTTGTTATGTGCCATGGAGTCGGTTCCGACTCATAGAGACCCTGCATAGGGTTACTGAGGCTGCAAATCTTTACGGGAGCAGAAAGCCTTATCTTTCTCCTGCACAACAGCTGGTAGTTTCGAACTGCTGACTGTGGGATTAGCAGCCTGATTCGTAAGTTAGAGATAGAAATACCACCTTCAGAAGTATACAGACCTAGATGGAGATGCTGGGAAACATAGCTTTACATTTGAATATTTGGTTTAATAAAGGTCTCTATAATTTTGTACCAATACTTACTGATTTAGCCTCATAGAATACATATTATAATACATACACACATACAAATTGAGGTAAGAATATAGAAAGAATTCTAACATCTCAACTTAAAAGAAATTTTTTTTATTAATTTTTTCTCATCTGCAATGGATGTCTTGTAAAACTCATCCTGAAGCGACCACTGTGATTGAATGATTCAGTCCTCTGAACCAGTAGTCTCCAGAGTTCTCATGAAAATGGGCTATAAGCTGTAAAGTGTAATTTAAATGTTGCATAATAATGATTCAAATGTTACATAATAATCGCCCACCATTAGCATGCTTACTGTATGACAGACATTTTACATATGAAGTTGTTGCTGTTAAGTGCAGTGAGTTGGTTCCAATTCATAGCCGCCCTGTATAGGGTTTCTGAGGAGTGGCTCATGGGTTTGAACTGTCATCATTTTGGTTAGCAGTCCCAGGGCTCATCCCACAGCTCCATACCAGGACTCCAAAATATTATCTCCATTTTACAGATGAGAAAACAAAGGCAGAGAAAGATCCTGTGTCCACAGTTACAAGGCTGCTAAAGATTAGATATGATGTTTGTCAGACTCTGAAGTCTGGACTCTAAGAGTCTCCTTGTGATCAGGGTCCTGTGGGATGGGCCTGGGAGGGCAGGGAGGACAAGGCAGAAAGAGCTGAAGGCTGAGTGCCTAGGTTTTCCACAGTGCACAACCCTACCTAACAGACAACAGTCCTGTTCAGTGTGGAGCCCTCTCTCCTTCCCAGGGCTTGTCTTCATGCCAGGAACAATACAGCTGACAGCAAAGGACATTCTCTATCGACTGCAAGCATCCAAGGCCAAGTGCATTGTGGCCAGTGAGGAGGTGGCCCCAGTTGTGGAGTCGATTGTGTCGGACTGCCCAGACTTGAAGACCAAGCTCCTGGTGTCTCCACACAGCCAGGAAGGGTGGCTCAGCTTCCAGGAGTTATTTCAGTGAGTATTTTCTTAGCCTCAGTTGCAGTACCAGTAACAACAGGAATCACAGCTCCATCTCCAAGTCGGCTTGTCTCCAAGGGGACTCACTGTAAGTTGATCTGGGTTCTTTCTCAGGCAGAAGGAAAGGATGTAGTTCTGCCTCCAACTTCCTGTTCTGAACTGTGAGTCTTCTGTGTGGCCTGGCCCCTGAGGATCTACTGGAATACACCTCATTTCACTTCCTCTGCCTTGAGTCACTCTGGCTACCTCTCTCCCCACCTCTGCACCTGCTGACTGTTCTTCCTCAGACCTTTTCATGGTTGGCTCCTTTGTGTCGGTTAGATTTCAGCTCAGGTGTTTTATCCTCAGTGAGACTTTTCTGACCACCTGGTGGAGTATAGCCCTCTAAACACTCTCCATCACATGATCCTGTTCCTTTCAGAGCACTCTTAACGCTCTGAAATTACCAAGGCATTCATTTGTTCCCTTATTTATTTATTATCTGTCTTCTGCTGTACAGTAAGTAGACAAACAAAGAAGTTGCCCTTGAGTAAATTCTGACTCGTGATGACCCCATATGTTACACAGTAGAACTGCTCCAGGGGGTTTTCTTGCCTGTCATCTTTAAAGAAATACTCACAG